CTCCTCCTCCTCCTCCCCCCCCCTTTCTCCCCACTTTCCTTCCTTTCTCCCAGTGTTCCTTAACCTGTCTTCTCCCCTCTTTCCCCCCTATCTTCTTCTTTCCTCCTCTTCCTCCTTCATTTCTCTTCCTGTTCTTCCTGTGGCCCACGCAATCACTCGTGTGCAGTGTAAGTAATTAGGTAGTTTACTACTCTGTGCAATAACAAAATCAAGTAATATTATGATATTTGTGTTTTGTCATATTTTTGTATAAATTCAGTTTTCTGTATCACACTGCACTGCCGATTATAATGGGTAGGAATGTAATCCTGAACATGAAACTAATGTCCTCCCTAAAGTTAGTGCTCCTCCAACCATGGCTCACAGATGGTGCATTCCACTAAAGGAAATAATACAAAAGCTGCTTCCTAAATGCCACTGACTCTATTCTTCCTCGAAAAGCTTTTGCTCTCATGGCAGGTCATTCCCTTCACTCCAGGCTTTAGCCAATTTATTCATGGTGGCATGTTCCTGTCACCCTGGCCCTCAGTCAAATTTTTCCACGATGGCATATTTCTGGCACCTAGCCTTCAGCCAATATTTTTTCATGACATAATGATATCAACTGAATTCAGTGGTTGAATTGTTCAGGTTTTGACTAATAGTTATCCCCTGAAGGGACTCGGCCCCCTCCCTTCCCAATCCACCTCTTTATTTCTTTTTATTTATTTATTTTTTTATTTTTTACTATTATTATTATTATTATTATTATTATTATTATTATTATTATTATTATTATTATTATTATTATTATTTTTATATGAAACGAGAATTTAAACAATATATCTAAAAGGACGCGAATTGTATATTTATAAGATTTTTGAACTTTTTCTTTCCCTCTTTTTTTTTCACAAAAAAAATTGACTATGTTCCAGTAAAGCAGGCCTTAACCTTTTTGTAAAAATAATTTTTATACATACAGTTATGATTGTGCCTTTCCTAAACCATTTCACTAAACTTAGAACTATATTTCCCAGCCTCTGGCATTTAGTAAGAAATTTTTTTATTAGTTGCAACAGTTTCTTAACATATATTTATCTCTTGTCCCATGCAGCTAGCAAGAAGATATTATGTCAGTTGGAAGTGAAAACTATCAACTTGTCTGGAGCGAGGACCCAGGACCTGAGGCCTCCAGGGGGCCACTCATGGGGGGCCGCTGGGGTTGCTCTTCTCCCTTGAGCATGCTGCGGCGGGTGGCCCCCATCATCATTTTGGCTTCACTCCTTGTCTGTCTGTTCCTCTACTACACCTCACCTCTGGGAGCGACGACTCTGTATGGTAAGTTATGCTCTAGTGAGTGGAGCATATGAGCGTCCTCTTTTCCTGAACTAGTAAGATGAGGCCACTTTCAAGCTCCTGTTTGTTTACTTTCCTAAGACACATTGCAGCAGGAATGTGACGGCCCACAATAGGTAATGTTAGAGTAAAGATTTTTTTTTTTTTTTTTTTTTCTGCTGAATGCTCCATTGTCACAATTCCTCTGTTAGTGTTTGACAGTGAAATAATTCCAGCACCATCAGCAGCATCTGAGACCACTGGACTTGATTCCGCCACAACAGAAGTTTACCGCAAACGCCTTCGTTTTCGAGGAACCCAGCGGAGGCTGCCCCAAGCCCTGATCATTGGAGTGCGGAAATGTGGAACTCGGGCCCTACTGGAGATGCTCAATTTGCACCCATATATCCAAAAGAATGGAGCTGAGATGCACTTCTTCGACGATGACGAGCGTTACGCTAATGGCATTGAATGGTACCGGAAAAAGATGCCATACTCTTTTGATAATCAAGTAAGTTTTGAAGTTTTAATTTTCTTTTTTATATTAAACAGATATTTATTCATGAGATTTTCCAGTGCTCTTATAGGGAGAAGGGTAATTTTACCTAAAGTGATACATTTTAATTGACATTTGAAGATATGTATAACAAGAGAATAAGGAGTACATATGGAAATCAGCATTTTCTGATGCAGGACACATACATTTTTAGATTTTATTTATTTATAGAAGCATTTTAGTGCTCATACTCAACTTTACTTAAAAAGCACTATTATTATTTTGGTTGATCTTATAATGAGTATTACTAATGTGGTAGCTGTATACGATACCTTGATATGAATTACATGAAAGGGAAATGATTAATTAGAAAAGACATTCTCTGATCTTTTTCCATTGACTAGAATCTATATTTTTTTTAAACAAAGAACAAAGGGAACCAACTTTTTGCCTGAGAGCATGTTCTTTCTTTTTTTGCGATGTATTTAAAACTTGGTGCAAATTTGGTATTTATTGAGATAATTCCACCTGGACATTGATGACATGCAGGTGTTTAATCACTGTCATCATTGAAAGTACAAAATATTATAAGGATGCATGAAAAAGTAAGCAGGAGAGGGGCATCTTCAAAGGGAATTTTCTAGAAAAAGGAATGCTACACTTTCAGTAGTTTGTGAAAACACCAATGGAATGTCATAATCAATATACTTCTTATTGTACTCACTTCTCATGTTTTATTTTTTCATTTATTTCTGAGAAAATTGTGCAAGATGCTTTAGCAGGTAAACTTAAAGTGAAAAGGAAAGTGAAGGAAATACAACAGATGAAATGTTTATAGCACAAGAATATTTAAGTGTCATTTGATCATTGAATAATTCACAGACTTTTTTAGGATTTACAGATGATTGTGAAATATCTATTGTAATTACTTTATCACATGTGGTGTGCTTGTAAAACATAGAAATTGAGAAATATTTTAATCAGTATCTGGAAATGTTGATTAAAAACAAGTAATGATAAGAAAATGTGCAGCGGTTTGATTAGATTAATCATGAAGGCTCCTCACTGTGTTCTTGGAATTACAAAAAAAAAGGTACAATGTTTACAGGACAAGGTCTTTTTGATATATATATACTTGTGGAAGATGTTTATTTTGTTTGTTTTTTATAACTTGAAAATATCATCACTTCTCAACCTATCCTGGCCCAATATTTGCCTGCCAAGAATATGGTATTTATTGTCATCGTGAATTGTAAAATTCATGCAGTCTGTAAATCACGCAGTCTGTTGTCATGGATTTATTGCCATGTATGAATGTATATGGATACATGATAATACATAGGACTAGTCAGGTTCAGATTAACCCATTTACAACGAGTGTCCCACATATGAGACACCCAGAAGAAAAAATTGCCGGGTGTCCCGCTGGTGTGACGCTGTATCGAGGCTCATGGGCAGAGTCTGCGCCGATTTTGTAGCTGCCCGGAAACTTTTATTTTCGGCTGCAAAAAATACTGGCGTTAGTGGGTTAAGATTTTTAGAGTCACTAAGTATCAAAAAGATTGTGATAGCATTGCATGTATACAATTCATAATGAGAAAGATACTAGACCATGGATTGAATTTTTTTTCAAAGATAAGAAAAAAATTGCATACTTTATTTGCGGTAAACCCTATGATTATAGATCTGGCTTTGGTGAAGAAACTATCAGAGACCCCAGGTATATGCTTAATTTGCTCAGTAATAACTGTACATAATGAAAAGCAAAATTGTTTTAGTGTGTAGCTCAAGTGGGAGGCAAATGTATGAAGGGAGAGGAGAGGATAGGAGATGGGATGATGATTACTGGGGTTTCTGATAGCTAGAAGGGGGGATATAGAGGGAGAATTGGATGGGGGGAGGAGCCACCTAATCAAAGGAGATATGGCTCTTCTCCTGTCATCATTATCATTATCATTATTGATATAGTTATCATCATTATTTTAATGTTTATTTCTATTACTGCTCTTACTATTATTACTGCCTATAACTACTACCACTTTTTAGTATTGTATCCAGCATGAACATCAAATGGACTTGAAGAAAGTGCTTTGTATTTTGAACTTGATGATTTAAAGGTATACATGCTATTTACAATCCCGTAGACTATAAATGCTTTTTACTCTAGGTCTGAAATTAGTAACATTTTGTCTTACAGTAACTATTAAATTATGGGAGTGAACTGGCCGCTGTGTCTGGTTAATATCAAGGTTACCTATGTGAGATAAAAATCAGAATTGTGTGGGTCACATATGTCCCTCTTGTCCTTGATTTTGGATGAGCCAATTATTATCTTTCAATAAAAGGACTGAAAAAGAAAGGTTAAGCCCGACTTCAGAAACCTGCAGCTTGAGAAATAGTACTGTTGGAACCCCAAAACTCCACACTTATGCCATGTGTAGAACAGAGAGGAGCTTCCATTGCTATGTCATGTAAGGATGCCATCTATAATCTGGGTCTACTATCAGCGTGGCATGTATAGATACCATCCATTGCATTTAGAAACTTGAAAGTTTTCAGTGGTGTTCAGTATATTAATTTTGTGTGTGTGTGTGGTATAAACTGTAAATAATCTTTATTTTTTGATAAGTGGTTTTAGTAATGAAGCCTTAAACTAGATAGGCTTTTGTATCAGCTTGAGTGCTATAAAATGTTCATAAGAAATTGGAAATGCTTTTGTTTAAGTCTGTTAGAAATGCAACATTATTTATGAAAGATATTGTTTGAAGGAGATATTTTAAGTATGAACAACAAGGAATTTGGGTCAAGAAGGGGATAGGGCATATCATCTCTTATCTCCTTGTCTGATGCTAGTCTCTCTGATAGCAAAAACCTCTGTAATGAAAAAAAAGTTGAATTCCAAATCAATTTTTTTACATCAGGAGTAACTCTATAGTCATGGTTTACACTGATGAAGGTAGTGAAAATGAGGATGATGGTGATAAGGTTGATAGTGAAGATGATGATGATCTTAACCCATATACGACGGGTGTCCCATATATGAGACACCCGGAAAAATCAGTGTGACGTTGGATCAGAGCTTGCGCTTTGAATATGTCCTGGGCCACGGCCGGCACACGAGCAGATTCTGGGCCAGCCCTGCATGCCGATTTTGTAGCCACTCAGAAACTATTATTTTCGGCTTCAAAATATATTGGCATTTAGTGGGTTAATACTGCTGCTATTACTCTTACTCTTACTATTATTATTATTATTATCATCATCATCATCATCATCATCATCATCATCATCATCATCATCATCATCATCATCATCATCATCATCAATATTATTATTATTATTATTATTATTATTATTATTATTATTATTATTATTATTATTATTATTATTATTATTACTATTATTATTACTATTACTATTACTATTACTATTACTATTACTATTACTATTACTATTACTATTACTATTACTATTACTATACTATACTACTACTATTACTACTACTACTACTACTATTACTACTACTATTACTACTACTATTACTACTACTACTACTACTACTACTACTACTACTACTACTACTACTACTACTACTACTACTACTACTACTACTACTACTACTACTACTACTACTACTACTACTACTACTACTACTACTACTACTACTACTACCACTAATGACTGTACTGTATAGTTATTGTTGAAAAGATTGGCACTCATGCACACACATGTATATGCTGCCATAACTTGGTAAAATTATTTCACATATATGAATACAATTAGTTTACTTTATTGTTATGGTTTCATGTATTACTAATTTGAATGGTGTAGTAAAGACTGTTTGTAAATGAGTAGATTGTGTAAGTTTCTTTCTGGAAAGCAGTAGGATATGCAAACAGTGGAGATGAAATTACCAGTTCAAAGATCTTTTAAACCTTCTCTCCTCCTAGTGAAGTCCAGCTTACTCATGGTTACAATTTTTTATTCATAATTGAAAGTAACTTCTGTTGAATGTGCAGTTAGTAATTGCAATATTATAGTATTGTAGTTGATGGTGATATCCTCTGAATATTCAGCTTGTAACAACAATAGTATGATGTCTAGACTTGACTAAGAGGTGAAAATGTTTTAAAAGGTCATGGCACTGATAATTATATTGCCACTTCTTAAATGCCTTATTGGTTTCCCCAAAGAAAGCCTTGCATAATCTATTGATTTATAAGCATATTTTACTGCACCATTCATATTAGTAATATATGAAACCACACTAATAAAGTAATTATATCTTTTTATGTGTGAGAAAGGATATTACCAGACTATGGTAATGCTTTAAGATTCCATAACTCAGTTTCATTCAAAAGTGAGGGGGCCAGGTAGTAATGCATTAAAAGGGCCGTCGCTATTGAGAACGAAGTTAGTCATTTATGATCGGATTCTCGTGATTTTTGAATATGATATATATACATATACGCTGATAAATACCGCCAAGTTTCATATCATTTGAATAATAAACAACGGCGGTATTTAAGAAAAACGAGTAAGTGAAAGATCACAGTTTAATATTCACACTTTATCCATTAACCAAACTTGTTGAAAAAAATACCACATATACTCTATAACAGTACAAAAAGTCTCTATTAGACGGATCTTTGAATTTCGTTTTAGTTTGGTGGGAATTTATTTTTTTCTAAATGCTTCATCTTATGAACTCGACATAATATATGGACTTCTATTACATGAATGAAAATATCCATAATGTAAAAAATCAAAATTTATTCAGCTTTCAAATGACCCAATTCCCATTAAAATCACCAAGTAGTTATGGAGAAATAAAAAAGAATGTTGACAAAGGTGTAGTTTTGAGATATCTGGCTTTGAAGTTGAGGATACTTTTTCCTCTATTTTCTTTTATTTTCTCTGATCTCTGCATCAATCTTGATGCATTCTATGGCATTCATATGTATTTTGAAGTGTAACTGGAACCTGATCCCCTCCCTTTTGCAAGGTACTAATGGCAATGAGTGCACGTGATTGTAGAAGTACCGCATGTCACCATAGGCTTTGTGAGGCATATCGTACGAATAAACAACTGCAGCTGTGATTGAGATGTATTTCTCATCATATATTTATTAGTTACTGGAATAACATTTATCATTAGTAGAGGCTTATTATGTGATGAGGGAGCATCAGGGATGGTAGTCGCACCGAGGCATGGGATATGCATCTTCACACTCTGGCTCTCTTGTGGTGACTGCCAGCCTTGTCTCTTTGTCGTGGCTGCCAGCTGTGTTGTAAGCAGAATTGCCAACTACCAGATAATACCAAAATAAATTGAAAAAAATCCAAGAAAGCGGATTTATTGAGTATATTTGCACAAAGTAAATATCGGAGCCGGAGGCGGGGGGGGGGTCAGAGATTGAGTCATAACTCTTTTATATTTACGTATTTAGCAGAAGTATTACATCTCAAGATTGCCAAAGCCTAGTAGATTACAGGAGATTTTTAATTTTCAAGTATTTTTTAAGATATAATTATTATTATTATTATTATTATTATTATTATTATTATTATTATTATTATTATTATTATTATTATTATTATTATTATTATTATTATTATTATTATTATTATTATTATTATTATTGTTATTGTTATCGTTGTTATTATTATGATGATGATTATTGTTGTTATTATTATTGTTGTTATTATTAATATTATGATCATTATCATCATCATCATCATTGTCTGTATTATCATCATCTTTTTTTTCTGTATCCACTTTTAGAGTTGAAGTGTTTTTATTTTGATGTGATATGGACATTTTATACCTGAAATCATAATATTATTATTATTATTATTATTTTTTTTTTTTTTTTTATTATTATTATTATTGCTATTGTTATTGTTGTTGTTATTATTATTATTATTATTATTATTATTATTATTATTATTATTATTATTATTATTATTATTATTATTATTATTATCATCAGTATTATCATTATTCTTGTTTTTGGTAATGTTAACCACATGCCGACAGGGATGGCATGTGCGAACGTGATATGCCCACTGTGTTTAATTTACTATTTGTTTTTACATATAGATGGCTCTACAAGGATGAACCATATTCATGTTGACAAATGTGGAAAGGTATGAATGAGAACGAATATCTTCACAATACAAGAGATGTATTTAACCGGTTTCGATTATATCTTCGTCAGAAATACAATATTTCTGACGAAGATATAATCGAAACCGGTTAAATACATCTCTTGTATTGTGGAGATATTTGTTCTCATTCATACCTCTCCACATGGCTCCATAAGTACTAGATCACCAATGAGCCAGTTACAAAAATTACCTGTCTCTCCTGTTTGCCCTTTTCTATGATTTACGAAAACATATTCTAGTATTTGATACTGCTGTTAGTAATGTCAATAACAATAGAGTAATTATAATATTTATAACAAAAATAGCAGTATCAATATTAACAGCATTAGTAAAAAAAAAAAAAAATTGTTTTCCTGCTGTTTCAAGGAAAGGTCACAAGATCTACTAATTGACTCCTTTATGGCTAAGCACTGGCAGAGTCATCTATGTGCAGAAACATTTAACAAAACAATACTAAAGTGAACGCATTTTCCCGTCGGCATTGGTTTAATATTATCATCATTCTTCTTCTTCAAGGCAAGTAGACTACATTAAAGTAGTTAGACTGTCAGTTTATGCTTGTTTATTATTTACGTGATTATCCAAGAGCAAAGGTTAAGGAAGAAGGTAGGCGGGGAATGGGAAGGAAGGGTGGAGAGGCAGAAGGGGAGGGGAATGAGGCTTAAAGAGAAAAAAGAGATTGGGAAAGGGACACAGAGGAGAAATGAAGGTGACTTAAAGAGGAAAAGGGAATGTGGAAGGGGAAAGGGAGGAGGGAGAGAGAGGGGGCAAAGGGATAAGGGAGCAAAGGAGACGGGGAAGTTAAAAGCGGAAAAGGAGAGAAGTGGGAGGGGGCAAATGTAGGGCGTAAAATGTGAAGGGAGGAATAAATTTAAGGAAGACTTGGAAGTAACATTATGATTATTCTAGGGTTATTAACAATGCTAATAGCAGTAAAAAAAAAGTCACCTGAATAACAAGGTAAAAGGTAGACAAGTAGGACCAGTAGCCGACTTCTTGGTGACAGAATTGTGGAGCCATTTATGTGTACAAAATATTTATAACTGAAATCATTGTTGATATGCCATGTATGTATATATTATCCAAACATTGAGCTAATGTAATTGTAGAACCATACAATATAGATTAAGTTATTAATATAGAATCAAAACCAACACCAGGCTATTGGTACAGTCATTATAATCATCATAATACTATTATTATCATTAGCATTATTTTTGTATCCTATTGTTATTATTATTATTATTATAATGATGATGATGATTATTATAATAATTGTTATGATGATAATTATTATTGTTATTTTTGTTATTATGGTAATTATTATTGTTATTTTTATTATTATGATAATTATCATTATTATTTTTTTATTATTATAATAATTATCATTAATATTTTTGTTATTATTATAATAATTATCATTATTACAGCTGTTATTATTTATGTTGTAACATTTTTGTTTTTATTATAACTACAACCCAACATCTGTTCTTTTCCAGATCACAATGGAGAAGACACCATCCTACTTCATCTCCCGTGAAGCACCGGCAAGAATCCACGCCATGAACACCTCGACCCGGCTCCTACTCATCGTCAGGGAGCCAGCTGACCGTGTGCTCTCAGATTACACCCAGATTATGGAGTCTAAACTGAGGAAAGGGATCCAGATTGCGCCGTTCCATGAGAAGATCCTGACGCCGGATGGAGAGATTGATGAGACGTAAGTTGGGCTTATATGATTTTTTATTATTATTATTATTATTATTTTTATATAATTATTAATTCTATTGTTATTCTTAATTTTAGCATTGCTCTTTTTATTTTATTTTCTTTCTTTTTCTCTTTACTTTTTAGCGAAAGTTATAGTATTCCATAACATAGGAAAGATCAGTCATAGTTTGGTCTTTCAACTGCCTGTTTTTTCTTCTCTTTTGACAAGACAAATTATTGATATATAGTGTTCTAGGAAGGAGATGCTAGTATCCTAAATTTATTTTATTAGTGTCTTCAGGTCAAGAA